AGTAACCTTCCCCCATGTTCAGTAATATAAAGTCCTATTTCCTTGTGACCTCACGAGTGTCCACTACCATATATCCTCTTCCTGCTGCTAAATACCAAAGTGCTAAAACTTACTATTATTTCTTATTCTCTACTATTTATGTGTTTTATATCGAGCTCGTTGCATTAATAAATAACTTCCTATATCAATCTATATAAATAAAAATGTAAATGTTCGTTTGTTCAAAATCGCTAATCTCCGAAAGTTCTTCACCGATTGCTTTGAAATTTTCACACAATGTTCCATTCGCATCCGGCCAGGTTTTTATATACATACTATATAGATGTCACGTCTGTGATGGTAAAAAAACATGCTATTTCTGAAAAACTGTGTTTTACATGTGAAGGAAATCTTCGAAACCTCTTTACCGATTGCTTTGAAATTTTGACACAACGTTGCATTCGAATAGGCGCGTCCTTTAATATATCTCCTATATACATGCCTCACCTGTGACAGGAAAAAAATATGCTTTTTTGAAAAACAGCGCCATCTGTTTGATGTAAGAGCAACACACGCTGTAATCTCTGAAAGTTCTTCACCGAATGCTTTGAAATTTTGACACAACGTTGTATTTGAATAGGCGCGTCTTTTTATATACCTACTATATAGATGCCACCCCTGTGACAGGTAAAAACATGCGTTTTTGAAAAACAGCGCCATCTGTTGCACATAAACATTCACGCTATACTAAATATGTCATGAATTCCATTTCAATGTTTCCGATTGCATTGATAAATTTGATTTTCATAGATTTCGATTTATTTTATTTTTTATTGAATTATTTTGTGTGACATTGTGTTGGAATTGAGCTGTGTTGTTTACCATACCGTTCATTTCGTAAGTATAAGTATAGATGCCACACCTGTGACAGGTAAAACTGCTTTTCTCAACAAACAGCGCCATCTGTTGCATGTAAGAGCAACACACATGCCGTACTAAATATGTTACAATTCCATTTCAATTTTTCTGACTGCAGTGATGAATTGAATTTTTATAGATTTTGATTTAATTATTTTGTTTGAATTGTGTTGGAATTGTGTTGAGCTGTGTTGTTTACCATACCGTTCATTTCGTGAGTATAATTTATTTTTTATTTTTCATATTTTCATTTAATTTTTTAACTGTTTTTCTTATATATCAGTGATGGGAACATCAGATCACTTGATGTTCCCAATTTTCTGATGGGAACATCAGACAATTTGGGAAGGCATCGGACGAGGGAGTGGGGAATGGTGGGGATGACGAGGTGACGGAAGTGAGAGATGGTGGGGAGGACGAGGGGACAAGGAGGGGGTAATGGTGGGGGAGGACGAGGGAATGGGTGAGTTTGAGAAGGTGGGGACGAGGGGATGGGGGGAATGGAAAATGGTGGGGAGGACAAGGGGACAGGGGAGTGGGGCATGGTGGGAAGGAAAAGGGGATGGTGAAGTGGGGAATGATGAGGAGGACAAGGGGACGGGGGAGTGGGGAATGGTTGGGAGGCCAAGGAGACGGGTGAGGGGGAGGGAATGGTGGGGAGGACTGTGGGACAGGGAAGGTTGCTGAGCCACAGCAACGCGTGGCCGGGTACTGCTAGTGTTCTGACATAATGAAATAGTGATAAATGGCTTCATAAGAACTAAATGCTACTATGAAATCACTGTAATCAGATCCTCTGTAAGTATATAGAGGTAAATAAAACAGCATTACTACAAGCCCGCTCCTTGAGCTGATATACAAGTCAATAAAACACGTCGTGTGTACCGCCATGATGAAAAAGGTGGAGTCAGATCTAAGTGTCCAATAACCGGTTGTAAGGAGTAAGCGCATCGGTTAGGCAATTTAGTAACTTACATTGAATACTGAACAGTGAGGACGTGAAATGGGGTGGACTTCACATTGACTTATTCAGTGAGAATGTTGACACACTGAATCACTCAATATCAAGTCCATCTCATAAAGTGAGTGTGAAGAGGGCGTCAGTGAGTGTTGCAGGGGTGCATCCTCATCATTACTCACGTCCCGGTAATGAATGAGTGGGTTTACAAGTCGCTGGCCACTCATAATTCAGTGAATGAACAAGAGAGAATCTCTATTTTCAACGATTCAAGCATTGTAGTTCATTATTTTGATTTGTTTGATCTATTTAGTAAGTAAATCGTTCCACAGAGTTAACAGGACAATTGGTGACCAATATTACAACACCAGCGTCGTCTGGCCCTCATGCCCTCCGCTACTCTCTATTGAAATGAATTTGCTTACCTTCCGGAATATATATTGTCGTTTTATAAGCTATAGTTAACGTTTATAAATGACCTCCTCATTGTTAGTGTTTGTGGTTATCTTATCTTAAGATGATTTCGGGGCTTTAGTGTCCCCGCGGCTCGGTCCTCGACCAGGCTTTCACCCCCAGGAAGCAGCCCGTGACAGCTGACTAAGACCCAGGTACTTGTTTTACTGCTAGGTAACACGGGCATAGGGTGAAAGAAACTCTGCCCATTGTTTCTCGCCGGCGCCTGGGATCGAACCCAGGACCACAGGATCACAAGTCCATCGTGCTGTCCGCTTGGCCGACCGGCTCCCCAGTGGTGTGAAGAGACTGTGTCACTTATTATTATTAACATCTTTATTGACAAAATTTTATTACAATTTTGCCTAATCTGAGAATTTCAATTAGGTTTTATTAAAGTGAGGATAATGTTGGTATTGACTGTCACACAGGACAGAGGGTCATACACAAGACAATAGGTCTAAACTGTAGGCTCAAGCACATATATATCATGGTTACAATCATTGTTTTAATGTATGGATATGTAAATACAACTTTCTATTGTGCACTGCCACACAAGGGCAGGGATGGGTTCATCCACACAAGGGCAGGGATGGGTTCATCCACACAAGGGCAGGGATGGGTTCATCCACACAAGGGCAGGGATGGGTTCATCCACACAAGGGCAGGGATGGGTTCATCCACACAAGGGCAGGGATGGGTTCATCCACACAAGGGCAGGGTTCATGGCAGGGATGGGTTCATCCACAGGGCAAGGGTTCATCCACACAAGGGCAGGGATGGGTTCATCCACACAAGGGCAGGGATGGGTTCATCCACACAAGGGCAGGGATGGGTTCATCCACACAAGGGCAGGGATGGGTTCATCCACACAAGGGCAGGGATGGGTTCATCCACACAGGGCAGGGATGGGTTCATCCACACAAGGGCAGGGATGGGTTCATCCACACAAGGGATGGGTTCATCCACACAAGGGCAGGGATGGGTTCATCCACACAAGGGCAGGGGTTCATCCACACAAGGGCAGGGATGGGTTCATCCACACAAGGGCAGGGATGGGTTCATCCACACAAGGGCAGGGATGGGTTCATCCACACAAGGGCAGGGATGGGTTCATCCACACAAGGGCAGGGATGGGTTCATCACACAAGGGCAGGGATGGGTTCATCCACACAAGGGCAGGGATGGGTTCATCCACACAAGGGCAGGGATGGGTTCATCCACACAAGGGCAGGGATGGGTTCATCCACACAAGGGCAGGGATGGGTTCATCCACACAAGGGCAGGGATGGCTTCATAAGAGATGCAACTTAAAAATAATATAAATAAAATTGTTCTTCATTCTTTAAAATAGACAAGGAAATTTAGGATAAATTGTTAGGATGTCGTCCAGTACACCAGTTTCAATGAACCACACAGTTGGTGGTACAAGAGGCCAGGAGCTCTAAAATCTTTTACAGTTTCACATTCAACAATATAGTGTTCTAGTGAATGCGTTAAAGGTTTGTCACAGAGTTTACAATCTGAATATTCTGGTAGTGGCTCAGCCTCACTAACCTGCCAGATGTGCCTATAGCCAAGGCGAATACGCGCAATGACAACATCACATTGCCTGGTCCGGTTACTGTGTTCAAGTTCAAGTATGTTCATTGAGACAAGAAAGAAATACATCTCAAAGGGATAGAGTAGCTTAGGCTATTTCTAGCTACTGTGCTGACCATACAAATACCTATTATTACAAAAGTTGTCATAGCTTTTAATACTGCATTTTTCAGGTCTCTGGACATTTCTTAGTTCTTAAACCTGAAGTAATTTATTTAATTTGTTAATATGTATGTTTCTATTAATTACATTAGATAGTCCAAAGTCATAATCAGTGTTTTCTTTCCTGCAAGCCTCATTGGCCAAACTGTAAAGTTTGTGGTGTGAAGAGACCGTATCTTGCTGTTAAAAAGACAGAAAATCAGAGTGTGGGGCTGAGAGTGAAAGTGGTGAGAGGCGTAGAGTGCGTGCGAGAGGTCTGGGACACTTTCCGATAAACCAAGTTGGTGTCGGGTGTGAAGGGACCTCCACAGCCAGCCCTTGCTATTGGCTATGACAAGGCTTGGCCGCGCCTGGTGACCAATTGGGTGTGCGGATACATCACCCGAGAAACACTGGTCTCCTGTGCTTCTTGGGTGATGTCCCTGGTCCAAGATGCCTTCTTCCTGACCAAGCCTCAGGACGTAGTCGGTGTCTGCCAGTAATGTTCCACCGGCGGCCACGCCACGCTCACTTACCACCTCAGAATAAACTTACGTTTTCTCATAAATATGTGAAATCAATTTAAAAACAAATCACATGATATAAAAATGATTATAGAACGAGTAATAGCCTAGGCAGACACAGATCTACATGGCAGTTGGCCCAGCAGAGTGAAGAGCATTGGGTGCTTGGAGCAGTGGCGGCCGTAGACGGTGACGTGCTGATGGAGAGTATGCTTAGTACAAGGTCCAGGCTCACAGTGTCCTGGTAAGAGCCTGATTGTTGGTAGGGAGATGTATTTATGAATTTTAATATGCTGGTAAACTAAATATGGCAGACACTCATCAGGATGTTAGCGAGGCAGTGTGTAGCGGCGTAATAGTGTCGGGTAGACTAAGGTATACCAGGCCACCATATGTGGGTACTAACGCAAGTCTTCCGTCCTCAGGGGAAAATTCGGGGCCGTGCGGCGCGCCCGACACCGCGCCACCGGCCAGGTCTTCGCCGCCAAGTATGTGCGTCGGCGGCGTCGGAATGTGTCCCTGGAGGACGAGGCGAGGCACGAGGTGGCGGTGCTGGTGCTGGGCAGGCGTGACCCTCATATTGTGAGCCTTCACCACGTCTATGAAACGCGCACCGAGTACATCATTCTCTTGGAGTTGTAAGTACCACCTTAACTCTCTTCCTCATGCTTCAGTATCTTGGTGTCTCCCGAGGACACACTTGTGGCCAACTTTCTCACTATTTACATATTCTTACATTTTAGGTATGCTGCTGGAGTTACTTTTAGGTAAGACGGGTGTGGGGGATGCTATAAATTTCCCTGCATTGATAACTTTGGCGACCACTCTGCAACAATAACCTGTAAAGATTTATGCTTGCTACTGTAGAAAGAGAATATAAATCAAGCAAAGCTGAGGAGGGGGGGGGGAGTGTCCATAATGTATGTGGTGTAACCGGAGCCACACAGCTGGAGCCTTGACCTCTGCAATCCCTCCAGCTGGAGGCTCCATACCTCAGTGTCTCCTGTCATGGGGAGCAACAGGAGGGACCCTGCAGTATGGGGGGCAACAGGAGACACCCAGCAGTATGGGGAGCAACAGGAGACACCCAGCAGTATGGGGAGCAACAGGAGACACCCAGCAGTATGGGGAGCAACAGAAGACACCCTGCAGTATGGGAAGCAACAGGAGACACCCTGCAGTATGGGGAGCAACAGGAGACACCCAGCAGTATGGGGAGCAACAGGAGACACCCAACAGTATGGGGAGCAACAGGAGACACCCTGCAGTATGGGGAGCAACAGGAGACACCCTGCAGTATGGGGAGCAACAGGAGGGACCCTGCAGTATGGCGAGCAACAGGAGACACCCTGCAGTATGGGGAGCAACAGGAGACACCCTGCAGTATGGGGAGCAACAGGAGACACCCTGCAGTATGGGGAGCAACAGGAGGGACCCTGCAGTATGGGGAGCAACAGGAGACACCCTGCAGTATGGGGAGCAACAGGAGACACCCTGCAGTATGGGGAGCAACAGGAGGGACCCTGCAGTATGGGGAGCAACAGGAGACACCCTGCAGTATGGGGAGCAACAGGAGACACCCTGCAGTATGGGGAGCAACAGGAGACACCCTGCAGTATGGGGAGCAACAGGAGACACCCTGCAGTATGGGGAGCAACAGGAGACACCCTGCAGTATGGGGAGCAACAGGAGGGACCCTGCAGTATGGGGAGCAACAGGAGGGACCCTGCAGTATGGGGAGCAACAGGAGACACCCTGCAGTATGGGGAGCAACAGGAGACACCCTGCAGTATGGGGAGCAACAGGAGGGACCCTGCAGTATGGAGAGCAACAGGAGGGACCCTGCAGTATGGGGAGCAACAGGAGGGACCCTGCAGTATGGGGGGCAACAGGAGACACCCAGCAGTATGGGGGGCAACAGGAGACACCCAGCAGTATGGGGAGCAACAGGAGACAAGTGCAGTATGGGGAGCAACAGGAGACACCCAGCAGTATGGGGAGCAACAGGAGGGACCCTGCAGTATGGGGAGCAACAGGAGACACCCAGCAGTATGGGGAGCAACAGGAGACACCCAGCAGTATGGGGAGCAACAGGAGACAAGTGCAGTATGGGGAGCAACAGGAGGGACCCTGCAGTATGGGGAGCAACAGGAGACACCCAGCAGTATGGGGAGCAACAGGAGACACCCAGCAGTATGGGGAGCAACAGGAGACAAGTGCAGTATGGGGAGCAACAGGAGGGACCCTGCAGTATGGGGAGCAACAGGAGACACCCAGCAGTATGGGGAGCAACAGGAGACACCCAGCAGTATGGGGAGCAACAGGAGACAAGTGCAGTATGGGGAGCAACAGGAGACAAGTGCAGTATGGGGAGCAACAGGAGACAAGTGCAGTATGGGGAGCAACAGGAGACACCCAGCAGTATGGGGAGCAACAGGAGACACCCAGCAGTATGGGGAGCAACAGGAGACACCCAGCAGTATGGGGAGCAACAGGAGACACCCAGCAGTATGGGGAGCAACAGGAGACAAGTGCAGTATGGGGAGCAACAGGAGGGACCCTGCAGTATGGAGAGCAACAGGAGACACCCAGCAGTATGGGGAGCAACAGGAGACACCCAGCAGTATGGGGAGCAACAGGAGACAAGTGCAGTATGGGGAGCAACAGGAGACAAGTGCAGTATGGGGAGCAACAGGAGACACCCTGCAGTATGGGGAGCAACAGGAGACACCCTGCAGTATGGGGAGCAACAGGAGGGACCCTGCAGTATGGGGAGCAACAGGAGACACCCTGCAGTATGGGGAGCAACAGGAGGGACCCTGCAGTATGGGGAGCAACAGGAGGGACCCTGCAGTATGGGGAGCAACAGGAGACACCCTGCAGTATGGGGAGCAACAGGAGACACCCAGCAGTATGGGGAGCAACAGGAGACAAGTGCAGTATGGGGAGCAACAGGAGGGACCCTGCAGTATGGGGAGCAACAGGAGACACCCAGCAGTATGGGGAGCAACAGGAGGGACCCTGCAGTATGGGGAGCAACAGGAGGGACCCTGCAGTATGGGGAGCAACAGGAGGGACCCTGCAGTATGGGGGCAACAGGAGACACCCAGCAGTATGGGGGGCAACAGGAGACACCCAGCAGTATGGGGAGCAACAGGAGACAAGTGCAGTATGGGGAGCAACAGGAGACACCCAGCAGTATGGGGAGCAACAGGAGGGACCCTGCAGTATGGGGAGCAACAGGAGACACCCAGCAGTATGGGGAGCAACAGGAGACACCCAGCAGTATGGGGAGCACCAGGAGACAAGTGCAGTATGGGGAGCAACAGGAGGGACCCTGCAGTATGGGGAGCAACAGGAGACACCCAGCAGTATGGGGAGCAACAGGAGACACCCAGCAGTATGGGGAGCAACAGGAGACAAGTGCAGTATGGGGAGCAACAGGAGGGATGACCAGACCACACACTAGAAATTGAAGAGACCAGCAGTATGGGGAGCAGTGTGTGGTCTGGTCATCATACTTCAGCCACGTTAGGAGCAACAGGAGGGACCCTGCAGTATGGGGAGCAACAGGAGACACCCAGCAGTATGGGGAGCAACAGGAGACACCCAGCAGTATGGGGAGCAACAGGAGACAGTGCAGTATGGGGAGCAACAGGAGACACCCAGCAGTATGGGGAGCAACAGGAGACACCCACAAGTATGGGGAGCAACAGGAGACACCCTGCAGTATGGGGAGCAACAGGAGACACCCAGCAGTATGGGGAGCAACAGGAGACACCCTGCAGTATGGGGAGCAACAGGAGACACCCAGCAGTATGGGGAGCAACAGGAGACACCCTGCAGTATGGGGAGCAACAGGAGACACCCTGCAGTATGGGGAGCAACAGGAGACACCCAGCAGCATGGGAAGCAACAGGAGACACCCCCATGTATAATGTAAGGTGTGTGATATGTGATGTATAATGTATGGTGTGGGATATTTGGTGTATAATGTAAGGTGTGTGATATGTGATGTATAATGTATGGTGTGTGATATGTGGTGTATAATGTAAGGTGTGTGATATGTGATGTATAATGTATGGTGTGGGATATTTGGTGTATAATGTAAGGTGTGTGATATGTGATGTATAATGTATGGTGTGGGATATTTGGTGTATAATGTAAGGTGTGTGATATGTGATGTATAATGTATGGTGTGGGATATGTGGTGTATAATGTATGGTGTGGGATATTTGGTGTATAATGTAAGGTGTGTGATATGTGGTGTATAATGTAAGGTGTGTGATATGTGGTGTATAATGTAAGGTGTGTGATATGTGGTGTATAATGTATGGTGTGGGATATGTGGTGTATAATGTATGGTGTGTGATATGTGATGATGTATGGGATGTGTGGTGTATGATGTGGTCAGCAGGTCATTATACACGGTGTATGATATGAGGTACTTGGTATGGTGACCACATACGTGGTAACTGGTGTCATGAGGAATAGACTCAAGTCCATTCCATCCAGCGGTCGACCCCACAGACGCATTCAGCAATTTTAACATGCTTTTCATTCAAACCAGAATTTTTCTCAAATATAAATTAATATTATAATATATTAGCATATTGTGGATATATAGGCATCGGTTAGGTTAGGTGTTTAATAGATTCTGTTGGCGATTATATGCATTTGTTGTTCGTGGGTGAAGCAGTTATAGTGGTGTGGTTCGAACAAAATTCGTCAGTGAAGCACTTGATCCGGAAGTGTTCGAACGTCATCAGTTGTGAGTCGTGTGTAAACCGTTTTTCATTCATAAACAGTATGGGGTTTGGCGGGTGCATGGAATGGACTTTGTTCTTTGATTATAAGGACGGAGTTGACAGTACCCTGCCGGCAGGGTCGTCGCACAGCTGCTGTGCCTGTCTTTGTCTGTCTGTGCCTGTCTGTCTGTCTGTCTGTCTGTCTGTCTTTGTGTGTGTGTGTGTGTGGTAATATCGCCTCGCACTTGAGGTGTGTCCCTCATGTACCGCCGGGGCCCTGACGACACGTTTCTAAGTGATAAATCTTTTTTTTTTTTGGCAGCGCTGGTGGAGGGGACCTGCAGCGTCTCCTGGACGAGGCGGTGTCCCTGCCCGAGTGTGAGGTGAGAGGTCTCCTGAAGCAGGTCCTCCGTGGCCTGGCCTTCCTCCACTCTCAATCCATCGCACATCTCGACATTAAGGTCAGTCCTGAGCGTGTGTAGTGTACACGGTATATGTGGTGGTAGTAGGCATGCTCCATCCTGTATATGGGGCGCACCCATTATATGCTACAATGTTATTGTTATGGGTACAGTAGTTCATAGATATTATTACCATATGGGCACATATTAGTACAGATAGAATAGGTCATAAGTTTACATATCTTTGCTTCTATTTGGTATTGTCTGCGCCTGCGCACGGTTACATCTGCGCCTGCGCACGGTTACATCTGCGCCTGCGCACGGTTACATCTGCGCCTGCGCACGGTTACATCTGCGCCTGCACAGGGTCACGTGCCAGGTTAGACAGAGTTCGGTCTGCGCATGTGCTAGGCGTAGGCGCCATTGCTCCATCACACCATCGAATTAATTAACTATTTTAACGTATATTTGTATTGTTTAATTTAGAATATTAAGTCGGAGTGGTGTTTGTGGTGTAGTGACCGCCAAGAGTGACGAGTACTGCCGTCACGTGATGTATGGAGTATATCTTCACCTGTTGTTTGTTGTTGTTAAAGATTTAGCTACTCAGGACGAAGTGTCCATGTAGCACGGGCTATGGTGAGCCCATAATCTTCACCTGCCAGCACCTCAGTGTATACTGCTCCATCACCCTCCTCTCCTCTCCTCTCCTTCTATTTAGTCGCAAACTCTCACACGTAATATATAAGAAAATAACAGCCAGGATGAATTAAATCTTTTAACTTGGTAGTCAAGACGTAATATACTAATCAAAATAAATTCTTTATTATTAATTAATGTTCAAGAAATAAAATAAATGTATAATTTATCTGTTCATTGTGAACATTCTCGAGGAAGAGTGAAAATGTTCTGAATGTTATGATTGCGTGTTAATCCCTTGTTTGACAGTTTGTTCACTTGAGAGAGTTAAGGCTCCGGCTGCACAATTTCTCAACCTTCCTCAAACTCTCAATTTTTGGGTGAAAAATCTACATGATAAATGCTCCCACTTTTTCTAACGGATCAACATCATAACATGAACAGAAAAATAACCCAAATTATGGGCTCAGCATGGCATATAACCTTCATTTTCCTTTAACAAAATGAAGTGTGAGAATATAGTTTACTGTAACAAAAAATAGTCAATGTGGACCTTTATCCTGACAGCCGAGGGGCCTGACAGCTGAGTGGACAGCGCTTCGGATTCGTAGTCTTAAGGTTCCGAGTTCAATCCCCGGTGGAGGCGGAAACAAATGGGCAGAATTTCCTTCACCCTGATGCGACTGTTCACCTAGCTACTACAACCGATACTGCTAGATACTAGCAGTATCTAGGTACCTGGGAGTCACACAGCTGTTACGGGCTGCCTGGGTGTGTATTCACCTAGTTGTGCTTGCCGGGGGGGGGGGGGGATTGAGCTCTGCTCTTTCGGCCCCCGTATTCACTGTTACTAACTACAAACTATTTTTATTCACACACACACACACACACACACACACACACACACACACACACACACACACACACACACACACACACGGGGGCCGGCCGGCCAAGCGGACAGCACGCTGGACTTGTGATCCTGTGGTCTCGGGTTCGATCCCGAGCGCCAGCGAGAAATATTGGGCAGAGTTTCTTTCACTCTATGCCCCTGTTACCTAGCAGTAAATAGGTACCTAGGAGTTAGTCAGCTGTCACGGGCTGCTTCCTGGTGTGTGTGTGGGTGTGTGTGATGTGAAAAAAAAAAATAGTAGTAGTATTAGTTAGTAACAGTTGATTGACAGTTGAGAGGCGGGCCGAAAGAGCAGAGCTCAACCCCCGCAAGTACAACTAGGTGAATACACAGAAAGGAGCTCCGTAACAGCTGACTAACACCCAGGTACCTGTTTACTGCTAGATAACTTTCTACGTAACTAGCTAGGTTTCTTTCACCCTGCTAGGCAGAGTGAAAGAAACTTTGCCCGTTTGTTTCTGCCTGGTACGGGAACCGAACTGGGGCTACAGAATTATGAGTCCTGCGCGCTGTCCGCTCAGCTACCAGACCTTGCTGTGGTACCTCGCTTGCTGGGGTACCTTGCTTGTTGTGGTACCTCACTTGTTGTGGTACCTCACTTGTTGTGGTTCCTCACTTGTTGTGGTACCTCACTTGTTGTGGTACCTCACTTGCTGTGGTACCTCACTTGTTGTGGTCACTTGCTGTGGTTCCTCACTTGTTGTGGTACCTCACTTGTTGTGGTTCCTCACTTGTTGTGGTTCCTCACTTGTTGTGGTACCTCACTTGCTGTGGTTCCTCACTTGCTGTGGTACCTCACTTGTTGTGGTTCCTCACTTGTTGTGGTTCCTCACTTGCTGTGGTTCCTCACTTGTTGTGGTTCCTCACTTGTTGTGGTACCTCACTTGCTGTGGTTCCTCACTTGCTGTGGTTCCTTGTTGTGGTACCTCACCTCACTTGTTGTGGTACCTCACTTGCTGTGGTTCCTCACTTGCTGTGGTTCCTCACTTGTTGTGGTTCCTCACTTGTTGTGGTACCTCACTTGTTGTGGTTCCTCACTTGTTGTGGTACCTCACTTGTTGTGGTACCTCACTTGTTGTGGTTCCTCACTTGTTGTGGTTCCTCACTTGTTGTGGTACCTCACTTGTTGTGGTACCTCACTTGTTGTGGTTCCTCACTTGTTGTGGTACCTCACTTGTTGTGGTTCCTCACTTGTTGTGGTTCCTCACTTGTTGTGGTACCTCACTTGTTGTGGTTCCTCACTTGTTGTGGTTCCTCACTTGTTGTGGTTCCTCACTTGTTGTGGTACCTCACTTGTTGTGGTTCCTCACTTGTTGTGGTTCCTCACTTGTTGTGGTTCCTCACTTGTTGTGGTACCTCACTTGTTGTGGTACCTCACTTGTTGTGGTTCCTCACTTGTTGTGGTACCTCACTTGTTGTGGTTCCTCACTTGTTGTGGTTCCTCACTTGTTGTGGTACCTCACTTGCTGTGGTTCCTCACTTGTTGTGGTTCCTCACTTGTTGTGGTACCTCACTTGTTGTGGTACCTCACTTGTTGTGGTACCTCACTTGCTGTGGTTCCTCACTTGTTGTGGTTCCTCACTTGTTGTGGTTCCTCACTTGTTGTGGTACCTCACTTGTTGTGGTTCCTCACTTGTTGTGGTACCTCACTTGTTGTGGTTCCTCACTTGTTGTGGTTCCTCACTTGTTGTGGTTCCTCACTTGCTGTGGTTCCTCACTTGTTGTGGTTCCTCACTTGTTGTGGTACCTCACTTGTTGTGGTTCCTCACTTGTTGTGGTTCCTCACTTGTTGTGGTACCTCACTTGTTGTGGTTCCTCACTTGTTGTGGTTCCTCACTTGTTGTGGTTCCTCACTTGCTGGGGTACCTTGCCTGTTGTGGTTCCTCACTTGTTGTGGTACCTCACTTGTTGTGGTACCTCACTTGTTGTGGTACCTCACTTGCTGTGGTTCTTCACTTGTTGTGGTTCCTCACTTGCTGGGGTACCTTGCCTGTTGTGGTACCTCACTTGTTGTGGTACCTCACTTGCTGTGGTTCCTCACTTGTTGTGGTTCCTCACTTGCTGGGGTACCTTGCCTGTTGTGGTACCTCACTTGTTGTGGTACCTCACTTGTTGTGGTTCCTCACTTGTTGTGGTTCCTCACTTGTTGTGGTACCTCACTTGTTGTGGTACCTCACTTGTTGTGGTACCTCACTTGTTGTGGTTCCTCACTTGTTGTGGTTCCTCACTTGCTGGGGTACCTTGCCTGTTGTGGTACCTCACTTGTTGTGGTTCCTCACTTGTTGTGGTACCTCACTTGTGGTTCCTCACTTGTTGTGGTTCCTCACTTGCTGGGGTACCTTGCCTGTTGTGGTACCTCACTTGCTGTGGTACCTCACTTGCTGTGGTACCATAATATCCAAAATTATGGTATTGGGTATTACCATAACCTATACTCCTAACCTATACTTCTTCTCAAGGTCATGTTTTTTATTAATAGATTTAAGTATACGCTTTATAAGCCAAGGATTGTTTAGCCTTTTAGTTGTGACTTGTTTCGTTAGCATAGGACAATGGGTGTTATAAAGGCGCAGAGTTTTCTTAAGAAATATTTGCACTTTTTTTTTTATTATTATTATTATTTTCTACCACAGACGTGGCCACACATTTACAATGCTAACCAGCATATATACATTTTCTTCTGTCCTCCATGGACAGGGTTAGAGAAATGTTAAACACAGAGTTCAGGGGTTTATTGAACACTCAACCACAGAAGGTGATTCGGTGCTTTTAAAATGCTAAGCTAACCTACATACGTAAATACATAGATACACAGATTTACGTATGCCCTACATAAAGTGTTTGATGTGTCTTTTACATAGTGTCATTAATGTACATTCACAAAGGTGAAATGTAATTCTGATCAGCTTCCATATATGCTTTATACCCATACATATACATACATATATACACACACATGCATTCACATACATCTGTCTCATTTACTCTGACAGGGTGAGATAGCTGATAAAGAAACTAGTGTGCAGTTAAGCACTTAATCACTGAAGGTGATGAAGGTGCTTTTACAAACTCAGGTTATATAGTTACATCATATATATACATTGAATAAATGATATATTACATGGTCAATCTTGGGTACAAGTCCAATATATCATCAAGTGTTCCAGTACTCATATAGTAATTACAGAGTTCAGCATACCTTAGCCCAGGAGGGCGAAAGTCAGTCAATATGGGACATTCTACAATATAATGTTCAAGAGAGTGCATGTTTTCTCTTTCACACAGTTGACACATTGTGTACTCGACATTTGGGTTTTGAGAAAGCTGCCAGATACGTCTATATCCCAGGCGTATTCTGGCCACTATAACATCACATTGCCGAGTTCTTGTTCTATTAGTCCCATATGTGAATGTCTCCTCACGATATCTATCATAATATTTAATGCTACAACTTTCAGGTCTCTGTGAATTTGTTAGGGCGGTGAGATTTTCATTAGATATTTGTTTA